TTTGTTACTATTCTCTATCTATTGATAATATTCAACAAACAATTCTGACTGTTTTCTAATGCAGATCAAAAATTTTTGGCAAAAAAACGTCAAAAAAAAATTTCAGAAAATTTGATTTAGAACAAATTATTTCCTAATTTTATCCTCTCACACGCTATTTAAAGCACAATGTGATAACGTAGTAATACGAAAAAATTGTTTGCCTCATTTCATTTTAGATTAATTAAAGTTGCTGCTTGCACTTCCCTAAATCCTTATAACTTGGCGACAAATGACCAAACGTGAAAAGTCTTTTTTTTAAAGTTTTTTTCGCCTTCTGAATCAATACCAGAAAACTTCTATTGCAACCACTAAATTTTTGTGAAATTGACAAACAGAATGCTTAGAGATCGGGTTTCAGATCGAAATTTTTCGCGGTTCTAGAAGCAATAGAAGCACTCATTATTTTTCTAGATTTGATAAAATTAAAATTGCCAAACCTGAGTTCAACTACGTGGGTTAAATTAATTGGACTATAAGTGATAGTCAGGCGATGCGTTTTTTGGTTATTGGTCATTCCACGCGTTCTTTGGTTATTTCTATTTAGAACGTGTACGTTTGTAATTTGATGCTTGGTTATTTTAGAGCAGCGTTAAAATATCAACTCAAATTGCGATTTCTCCAAAAACTTAGAATTTTGAACTCTTTGTGTGCTTTTTCAAATGTTCCGCTCTGGAACTTTTTTCTCTGGGGTTTACGCTTTTTTCCAGAACAAAATTAGTCTCTCTGTGTTATTACGAACTGTAAATTATAACCAGGCAAAAATGAAATGTTTTTGTACCAAAAAACTTTACCATTTACGATTAAATAAATAACAACAAAAAAGCACTAGCAGCATTAATTTCAAATTCTAATCATCTACTTATTTCTAACAAGACTGCTCGTATCAGGGCGAAGCAGTATCAGAGCGAAGCCTTTTAAGGTCTATAGAGCAGTAATAACATGGAAAAATTAAATTTAATAAAATAAAATGAAAAAAGTCATCCCCTATACGCCATATAAAGTACAAAGTGACAGATTTCGCTCCTAGTAACAAACCATTTATGGCAAATATGCTTCCTTCAACCAATTTAGAACGATTTCTTAGACGGAATAAATCTTCGTTTACCCGTTAATAGCGCGAAATATGGCGCGTTAATTGTCCCAAATTGGCCAAAACGACAATATTTAAACGCCCATAACTCTACAAAAAATGATCACAGGTGAAATATCTTTTCAAAATTAAGCTCAGAAAAACAATACTTTTTGAATGATTAAAATGCCGTCATTAGATGGCTAGTTAAAAAGTCGAAATTTTTCTGATAAAAAACCACCCCGAGCACAATTATTCCGTTACTTTCGTTACGAAATTCGGAAATGTGAACTCTTTCTGCTGAAGTTAACATGAGGGATTTTTTCATGCACAAACGAACAAATGGGCAAAAAATCTCAAAAAATCAATGCCTTTTAAAGTGTCCTAAATTGAGTGAATTCGGTTCTTATTTCTTTCAATGAATAAATGATGGTATTCAAATTCGCCGAAAACGTATTCGCACATTGAGACCTCAGTGCAGAAAAGACGCCCCTATTTAACATTAACTATAGAGCTTAATTTTGAAAGAACAAATTACAAATTTAATGCGAGTTGGTCAACCTTCCTCGTTTAAACGAGAACAAAAAAATTTTATATTTATTATGGAGTTTCTCTACGCAGACTTTTGCAATCTAGTTAAAAGTTTCCGTTGAAATTCGTGTCTTGCTTTTAAAAAATCAAAGCCTTAGCTTGAAAAACAAAAAATGAAATAACAGTAACGTCATAAGTAAACGTTTCAAAACTTCCAAGGATCTACTTAAGATCTTAGGATCTACCTTTGGTATCTACTTAAGAATTGCCATCCCTATTAATAAAAGCAGTAAATTAGCACTGAGCTTTCTATTGAGAATTATAATTTTGCTGCATTCTGATTTGCCGAAAATGCGCTATTTTAATCTAGTTAACAATTCCCCCCCCCCCTTTTACGAAGGGGGGTGGGCAATTGTTAAGTAGATCCACTTCCAATTCTGGATAAGTTCCTGTAAATTACAACTGGTACTCGACTGCATCATGCGCATTTCTCAACTTGGATGTATTGCACGTACGTCAGGCGCTAATCTCAGTAAATTTGAAATGTATTTTAAAATTTGAGCAAGTAATCTCAAGCGCAAATAATACTTTTACTGCTGTTAACATAAAAATGATCACAACTGATTGATTAGCTTTCCAATTTGCACTCATTTCTCAAGATTGTGTTTTTTTAGTTTTTTTTCTGCGCAAATTTGCTGATCTAAAAATATAAAACAGAAGTGAAAATGAACTAACCTGATTGACATTGAACTCGTCTGCCAAATATAGTTGGAAAAACGCGTTGAATGTTTGAAAAGTTTCTTAGAAATTTGCGGAATTAGTAAAAAGGCCCAAAGACTGGAAAATTTATGCTAATGAATTATCTCAAATTGAAAGTTTTTAAATACTCAAAATTTTACAAAAAATGATCTCGATGGAATATAGTTTTTTAACCGTGAGTGCTAATATATTTTCATAATTTTTTTAGTTATGAGAACTTCTAAGTTGTCAGCATCTTTCAGACTGTATGAAATTCCGTCAAATATTTACTGATTACACAACAAATTACACCATCATGGAATTACACAACAAAAAAATGACTGAAGATACCATCATTGAACTAAATAGCTATAGCAATTGTTTAAGTATGAAAATATGAAAGAAGTTTTGATGTTTTTAATAAGAGCAATCTATTTGCTTAGATACTCGCGTAGATAGGATTACTGCCAGATTATCTTTCATTTTTTGGTTTCGAGCGGCAAAAAAAAAGCTTATTTCACCAACTAATTTAGTTCTAAACAGCATGGCATAATGCAAAGGAACTATTAAAAAGTAAGCTTACGGCCTTAAATTTGATGCGCAGTGATTAAAATTAATTGATCGTCTGAAATTGCAACTGAGCTTTGCCTCCGATTTTGAGAACACATTTGCTTAATTGGAAATCCGTAGATTTAAAGTCTAATTGGAAAGCAGATCCGTAAAAATAATCAGAGAAAACTGAACCATTTCTAGCTGACCCAAACCTGTTTTCACAATCTTTTTAATCAGTTTTTAAATGCTCACTAAAGTATTCATTGATTTTTAAATTACTTCTTAATAGACTCTGATCTCAGGCAAAATTAGTAATCACTTTTTCAATTGAAATTTAATAGATTGCTAATAGACTGCGCGCATTGGGGCAAGTTGTTGAAAATTCCGACAGCTCTTTAACTTGTCTCGGATATTTTTTGTACCAGAAAAATTTGATGAAGCTGTAAATTTTGAAATCTTCTAACCCCAACATTTTAGAAAATTGATTGTAGGAGGATTTTTTAAAGATTTAAACTCGGAAAAATGATATCGAGCCAAGTTAACATCATCTTCCGCAAAGCAGTTTAAGTGGTAGGATGGTACTTTGGTCTAATTTGGAATTTTCAACCAATCAGAAAAGAGCATTTTAAATGCAGCGCTTAGCAAATTTAACGAACTAAACACTGACGAGTAGATCGCTCAACTTGGTTTATCTAGGGGGAGGATGTTAACTTGATCGTCGATATCTTCATTGGAGTATAAATAGGTTCCCTTGAAAACGATTTCTTCGATCGCTGAAATTAGCCTTCATGAAGAACACAGCGACCATAAAAATTCGATAACAGACTTCAAACGTGGGAACAAAACAAAATTTGGTCAGCGCTGTTTAGCGCTAGGATGTGAAAAGAAAAGAATTATCTCAAATACATGTGGGCATGGAATGTTTTGATTCTCTAGGGGAAAATTAGGCTTCATTTTGCTCCACTTTTCTTAAGTCCATCTCTAACAAATCGGTTTCTAATCGGTTAAAGTTATAACATAAATCGATTAGGGAAGTTAAGGAATCAGACGTACAGTTGGTATTTATGACACCAAATAGATTGTTATGACTTCTGCTTTTTGTCATGATTGCCATAAACCGTCAGATTTGTCTGGAAATCAATCCAAAAGTTTGATGGCAAAGACTGCACCGCAAATACTTTTCAGACAAATTTCAGTTCTATAGTTTTTAGGAGTTTCCAAGGCCAAATTGAGTATCTTAAAAAACCATGAATGTCTCCCTAAAACAACCTTTTTTTAAATGATTGATCATTTCATTCGATTAACGTTGATAATCTCATGGGAAGATTCAATCGAACGACTTTAGTTCTCAGAGAAATAATCGTTAGATAAATTTTATAAGATGTTTTGCCATTTTTCTTACGAACAACGTGCACATTTTCTTCGTTTTTTTTAAAAATTTTTTTCAGTTTTATTTTATTTCATTTTCTTCAGGTGATAGCAACCAATCATAGTTTAGCAGAAAACTGAAATAAAATGGGACAACCTAACAAGCTTCGTTTAAGAACTTCTGTTATTCAGACCATCGTAAGAGTAGCCCATTCAAAGTTATATCTATGTAAAAACAAGTACCACGAATACGTCGTGTCGTATGGCGAGTGCTATGTCATATTGCAGCGCTTCCAGTCGTAATTGTACCCCGATAAAATGTACCTCGAGAAAAACTTATCTATGCTGGAAAAAAAAAGTCTGAACTGTTTGACTTTCAGAAGATGATCTTCCAGAGATGTTAATTAAATTGTAAACAAATAGCCCTTAAAGCTGGGCTAGTGGATCAGCCTTCCTTTTTCTCACCTCAATTCCACAAAAAACGGAGTTTTTAAAATATTTCAGAAAAAAAGTCTGGAAAAAAATTCTGAAAAAAGTATTTCAAAAAAAATTCTGCAAAAAGTATTTCAAAAAAATTGAAAAAAAAGGTTGAAAAAAAAAGGTTTTCGCTTTTTATTTTAATTTTTTCTTCTTCTCCAAAAATAAGCATGATCAAAGTTTGAACATCCATCGGCTATAATTGCATTATTTGATTTTGCAGGTCACGCGTCTCATGTTTATGATCATGCTCTCATTCATCCTGCTCCTGTCCCCCCACCGACTGTGGAATTTGGCCCGCTTCTTCTGCCCCGAGCTGGCCTCCTTCACCACCAAACATCTCCTCAACCAGATCGCAAGCATCGTTTACACGTGCAACAGTATCGTCAACCCACTCATTTGCTGTCTCGCATCAGAAATATACAGGTAACAATTTGTGTTCGCGGAGGAATTATAGCATTTGAAATTATGGCCACAGTTAGGAACTATGGCCTCAGTTGGAAGGAACTGTGGCCTAAGGAACTATGGCCTAAGGAACTATGGCCTTGGTTTGAAAAACTATGGCCTAAGGAACTATGGCCTTAGTTTGAAAAACTATGGCCTTAGTTGGAAGGAACTATGGCCTGAGAAACTATGGCCTCAATTGGAAGGAACTATGGCTTAAAAACTATAGCCTCTGTTGAACGCTTCTTCCTAGAAACTATGGCATAAGATGGGTTTTCCCACACCAAATTAGATACCTCAAAAACGCTAGTAGGTCATAGAAGCTGTTTTATTTTGAAGCCTTTTCCACTAAAAATAAGTGATTTTAAAAAATCACAAATAAATTCTGTGTCGATAAAATTGGTGTGAATCTTTTCGTGCTTCAGGCAGATTTTAGACTGAACGTAAAAAAGCACCCGCAACCATTTATTTTCACTACGTGTTACCGTTTTATTTGAAGGTTTATTCAATATTTTGGAGCCTAATGTCAATCTCCTCTGCAACCCAAGTAAACGATGGTAGTTTTTAAAATAATTTTTCTCCATTCTTCATTATTTACAGCTTGCTCAAAAACCATTCTAGTAAAATATGTCTTAATAACCTTTGAAAATGTTGAATATCTATGAACTTTTATTTTAAAATTGGTTATAGTTTCACTTTTATTCAGCTGCATTTCTGTTAATAATTTGAAGTATTTTTTACAATTGGTTGCATAATTTTGATCTATGGAATAAAATAGCCGATTTCGCATAGAAAGTCGTCTTTCGCTGCTACTCGCTAAATCATGCGATTTGCTTTAACATTCACTCATTGTCGAACTTAGCTTTAGTTATTGTTCTAGTGACAATAGTCACTAGAGCTTTGGTTATCATTACGACCATTTAAAATGGGGAGGAATTTTGTATTCGGTATTTTTTGTTCCGACCATTGAAAATGGGGAGAAACTTTGTAGTAGTGTTTTAGTTTTTTCTTTTTGTTTTCCACGCAAAATCAGGTACCACAAATAATCATAGGACTGGGTTGAGTGATATATCATTTTAACACCCGATCAGTCGTGATTCGAACGAAATAAAAAAATACAAAAAATTTTCCCAGTGTCAAGAAAAACCGGTTTGAAATTTTTGATTTTTGGTCGAATTTCGAACTTATATGGCGTGAGCCTGTAGGCTTACAATAGCTTACCTTAAGCCGTTAAAAATTAATTGTAAAATTACTAAAAAAAACGTTTTTGGAGTTTTTTAGCTTCTTTTTGGGAACCAAAAACTTTTAAAAAAAATCTAAATATTTCTGCAAAAAATTTTAAAAAATTATTAGTCATTTTTCTGAAAAAATCTTTGTCCAATTTGTTTTTATTACTATGGCTGTCTAATATGCCTACATTACATTTTTCAGTCAGTTCTTGTATCGCACCAAGCAGAAAAAACTACACTAATTTGGAAAAAAAACTTGTAAACCGTAGTTATGGTCGGAACATACTGTGTTTCAAACATTCTTGCACAGTAACCAGCTATCTTTGTTTCTCCTTTCTTTCTGATTTTCCCCGTAATTTCGAGCGGTTCAAGCAAATTCAAGTTCGAAAGTTCGTAACAAAAAATTGATCAATGAAGACAAGAAAACTTGTCCGGGACGCTTCATTCAACACTTCGTTGGCAATAAAAGTTTGTAAAAATGATTGTGCGAAAAAGTTACAAAAATGTTCGTTTTTTGGAAAAAAAACGGTTGCCAATTTGTACATAATTACCTAAATTTCTAAGCCTTTGAATATATTTTTTTCACACCACGCACAAGAAAGGCCACTAGTTCGAAGAAAAAAAAATAAACAATATATTTTTTGTAGTTTTTATGAATGTTGTCGGAGCATTCTAAGCAACCAGAAAAGCAATCGTCAAAAGTTTGAGTTTGCATATAAAGTGGAGAGGGGAGACAATAAAAAGAAACCATCCAATCAAAAAACTTGAAACTTTTAAAAAAAGGCTTATCTGGTGTTAAACGTTCAGAAAAAAATAGGAGCTGAAAATTTATCTTTTTAAAAATTTTCTTATCCATTGATTAGGCACTATTCGAATAATCCATCTAAAAATTTCCTGAATTTGCTCAAGTTTTTTTCAAAATAGATTTGTCCTCAGAATTAGATCTCGGATTTCTGCGTCATTTTGACTTTTCAGCAAGAAGTCAAAAATTGGCAAAACAACCAAAAAGTCAAAAATCGGCATGTTTCTAACAGACAAAAAAGTTTGATCGACTAAAATTAGTTTTTTAGCTCCTAAAGCATTAGAACTAAATGCCAAGCCAATTATTGACAGAATATTTTTTCCAAAAAGACCCTAGTACAGAACGGATGTTTGGAAGACAGTGTCAAAATTAACCCTACTTGAGTTTTTCCTGAATCGTTAGACCTTAAAACTGCAATTGTCGCGTGCAGTCCCATCCCTCGCAATTATATTGGCACCAAAAAGGTTGTTTAGGCAAATTTCAGGGTCTATCAGCGAAAAAGGATGTAGCAAAATGGGAATTCTTTTTGTGTTTGAACAGGTCGAGTTCCTGATTTAAGTTACGCGCGCTTTTGAGGAAATCCGCCCGTTAGATCTAATAATTTCCTTTTTCGTTGAAAATAAGAAATCATTATTTTTCAAAAGGCTTTCACTGAATAATTCCCATGCTTAACATTGTAAAATCATTCAACATTTCAATCAAGTTCCAGTACAGTACAGAAACAAAAAAGCAGATATAAGACAAAGAGATCTATATTAAGTAGCAAGCAGGAAAGATTGCGATGACTGTTATCATTGCTAAGAAGCGAGAAAAAAAAACTTTTTTTTTAATAAAAAGGATTTCAAAAATGAAAAAGCGGGGAAAAAACGTTTTTTTTTTTCAAAATAAAATATTTCAATGTTGAAAAAAGCGAGGAAAAAACTTTAAACAAAAAACATTCAATGATGAAAAAAGCGAGAAAAAACGTTTTTTTTTAAATGAAATATTTCAATGTTAAAAAAGCGAGAAAAAAAATTTTTTTTTTAATATTTCGAAGTTGAAAAAAGCGAAAAAACACTTTTTTGTTTTCAAAACAAAATTTTTTAAAATTGAATTTTTTTTCAATTTTTTTAAAATAGAGCCAACTAATAAACCATTTTAAGATATCAAAAGTGATTCAACGAAGAACAAAAATTTTTTAAAAAAAAGGTTGCACTGCATCCAATATTGGCATACCTTTTTGTGGTTTAGACAACAACTGAAGATGATGTACAGCAATGTCCGACAAGAGAAGACTAGTTGTCCGACAGCCACGACAGCAGCCACGAACAAAGGTGTGAGCAAACCAGTGCCCACTGCCAAATTAACACGTGACCTCAATAACTACAGGCGAGGGGGAAGAGGTTCCGACACAAACGAGTTTTCACAATTGTAGACAAACATATTAAACAATAATACATATGAAAATGCTCAAAGGCTACTTTCCACCCCCCCCCCCCCCTCTTGCCTGAATAAAGAAAAAAATTCATAATGGATAAATTCAAAGTTCTGAACATATTTGTGTTTTATACCTTAAATGGCAAAATTATGCGTGTAGCAAAAAAGTAGCCGGTATGAAACAAAAACGAAAACATAATTTACGGGAGTGGAAAAGAGTCCATTATACATATGAAAATGTCTGATTTAAAGGGGTGATCCCTACAAACTCGTGAGTATTGTTCAGAGGAGAGCTCGCAACCGGAAGATTGTTTTGGTCAAAAACATTTCCAAAAACTACCTCGATTCCTTATAAGTACGTTGAATTTAGATATATAGATATTTTTAATAGCAATATTTTGGGCGAACAATTATTAAGATGTTAGTTTCTTTCCATAATTTTACTCGCCCTATTCTAAAAAATTTTTCCCTTAGTCAATTTTACTCAATACTTCAGTTTATTTTATGCCAACAATCGACCAACAAATGTTTTACTGCTCTTGTTAATAAGCTATTGTTTGATAAGTTTATTTTTTGTGTTCTCAGCATTCTTAATAATTTAGCTGTCAAATTTAGATGTCCAAACACCCATTTAAGTAAATGTTTGAAATCTCTATTTTGATTTCTATTTAAACTCAATTTGCCCCATATCTGAAGTACTGAAAATGATAACTTCATTTGTTTATGTGTACATCAATTTTAAGTGGTTGTAAGGCCACAGATCTCAAAGACTAACTAACAACTATCAATGAAAATATAATTTTAAAAAAATGTAATTTGAATATTTTGTCGTTAACTATATTTTGCTGCTACTTTTTATTCCTGTAATTACGCGTGGAATAGATTACATTGCATGATTTATAATTTATGTTGTTAGTTACTCCTCCAATTTTTGATAACAAAGCTTATCGAGTGAGGTTTTCTAGCGAAGGATTTGGAAAAGGTTACCGCAATAAAAGCGTTTTTTTGGCGCGGTCCTCCGTCAATATTAATATATATTATATAAGCGCCAAAAGCGTCTTTATTGAAAATTTAGGGTTGATCCTCCTGAATCTGTCATTCAAAAAAGTGAAATTAATTTGTCAATCACAAAGGGAAAGTTAAACTGTCATTGAAAATTTAAAAGCGCCAAAATCCTACCGTTTTACAAAGAGTAGAGTAAAAAAGACGAAAATAATTATAGGCCAGATTCTCTGCTAAATAACTGCGTTAAAAAAGTACTGCATTCCCGTCTTTACAAATATCTGACGATTCAATGTTTTTAAGTTTTTTATGAAAAACAATTTGTATTCAGAAATGAATACAAAACGATCGATAGCTTAGTCGAATTAAAAGAAAGTTCGATTTGAAAAAGTGCAAGGACATGTAGCTTGTTCTTGGATCTCAAAAACAGCTTTGATACGTTAGCTCATAACCTAATGATATTTAATATAGAAAACTATGGAATCAAGGTGGTATGCCATGACTAGCTTCAAAGCTACTAATGTAATCGGTGGCAATGGGTATTTACAAATTTAGTGTACTCGAATTGGTTGAATGTATCATACCGGGTTCCCCAAGGGTCTGTAATTGGTCCACTACTGTTCCCTAATTGCTTGAAGAAGTCTTAAGCTTAGTTATTTGTAGATTACACTGGGTCGCTTTTCACTAGATAAATTATCAGTATATGTATGTGGCTGGTCGAAAAGAAGCAAACTACCATTTAACGATAATAAATTATTTTAGTTAAATTTTTGACATATTTCAGTGCTTCCAATCTTCAGCTGTGTCTTAAAAAACCAAGTCTAACGCCTAACCTTTTGGCAAATATCTCGGTATTTTTGTTGACTTTAAACTTTTTTTTCCAAGCACATTGGAGTTATTGCGCAAATGAAGAAATTCGTACCAATCGAAGTGCTCATTAGATAATATTTTATCATATCAAACTCATCATACAATATGGTCTACTGTTATAAAAAGAAACTATTTTCACGAATTTCAACCTATTTTTTAGCAAAAAAACTTATCAAGATGATATTTTGCGGGAGAAAAATCGATAGTATGTGGGTGATTTTTACGAACACAAAATCTTAACAGATCAAGGGCTGTATGTGTACAATCTTCTCAAGTTTTATTGAAGATCTATAAATAACGTAAATTCGACTGCCTATTTTGACTGATTATAATGTAAGCTAGCGTAAAACGCACCTCCAGTACGCATAATAAACCGCATATATTGGAAACAAGATCTGCATTTTTGAGTGTACTCTGACAACACCCAATTACAAGGTTCATAATTACAAATTTTGCAATTTTTTTATTCAAATTTTTTATACAAATTTTGAAGAACCATACAGTTTTGCGAAGTTTTATTTAAGTTCTTCGAAAAATTTAAAATGAACTAAGAAACGTCACATCTGGGAAAATAAAAGCAATTGAGCAGTCGCATTTGGACGCAAGATTTGCAACTTTTGAGTGTACTCTTATAGTACCCAACTACAACGTTGAGAAATTCAAATTTTGAGAAAATTCACCTTAAATTTTCTAAAAAAAGTATTTTTTGAGAACCAGAAAAAATTTCGCATCTCCAAAACTACCAAGAAATTAGTAGTCTCATTTATGGCAATAGTCGCAATCTTTGAAAATACTCTGACAGCACACAACTACAGTGTTGGGAATTTCACTTGAGTGAATTATTTTGTAATTTGAGTTAGCTGAAAATTTCCAAAAAACCTCAAAAGTCGTCTTATCTCTCAAACTAAAAAGATTGGGGCATTCTTAATTGGAGGCCAAATTTGCAACCCCCTGAGATTACTCTGGCTGCCCCCAACCACAGGTTAGGAATTTCAAACTTTGAAAAAAAAATGAATTTATTTTCATGAATTTTTTTTTGGAAAAAAATCATAAGAAACATCATACCTGGACAACTGCAAGGTTTTGAGCAGTCATATTTGGAGACAAAATTCGCAATTTGTGAGAGTACTCTGACAGAATCTCACTACATAGATGGTAATTCAAGTTTTGTGAAATTTTTTATATCTACTTTCTCTGAAAAGTTTTTGAGAAAATCCTAAAAAACGTCATATCTCGAAAGTTACAAGAATTTGAGCTGCCATATTTAGTGGCAAGATTCGCAACCCCCTGAGAATATCCTCACCACATAATCCCAGAACAGGATTGACATCTTCAACGTTTTCGAATTTTTTAACATCTAAGTTTATTCAAAATTTCGGAGAAAATCATAAAAAACTTCGTATCTCGACAACTACAAGGTTTTGAGCAGTCATAATTGGAGGCAAAATTTGCAACTCCTGAGAGCACCTTGACAGAGCCTCACCACAGAGATGCGATTATCAAGTTTTGTGAAATTTTTTTATATCTAAGTTTTCTGAAATTAAGAAAAAATCCTAAAAAAACGTCATATCTCGAAAACTACGAAGATTTGAGCAGGCATGATCAGAGGTAAGATTTGCAACCCCTGAGAGTACCATCACAATATAAAACAACAGGAATGAGATCTTCAACGTTGTGAAATTTTTTAAAATCTAAGTTTTTGAAAAAATTTTGAAAAAATCTTAAAAAACGCCAGATCTCGAAAACTACAAGGATTTGAAAAGTGAAATTTGGAGGCCAGATTCGCAACCCCTGACAGTACTCTGACAGACAGCGGCTAACTACAGGGTGAGAGTTTGAAAAATTGAGAAGATTTTTCAAATTTTTTTTCTAGAAATTTTGAAAAAACTCGAAAATTGCCTATCTCGTAAACTAAAATGATTTGGTTAAACATATATGGAGGCCAGGATCGCTAAACCTGGGAAAACTCTGGCAACATCCCACTATTAGGTGGCTAATTTCAAACTTAATGAAAAAATCACTGAATTTAAAAAGGAAAATCGAAAAAAAACATTAATCGTAGCAATATACGATATAAAGCTTAAAAGTGAAAAAATTCTTTTGTTAAACATGCAAAAATAATACGTTAAAAAAGCCTACAAATGCCGAGATAAAGAAGCACGCCATTTAAATTTATGAGAGATAGATAGCTGAAAGTTGAAAAATTGGGAGACGGGCAGACAGACATAATCAAATTAGTTAAAAAAGCACGAATACAGACAGACAGACAGACAGACTTAATTTGGCCTCGCAAAAAAAATACTGAAAATTAATGACCTTGCTGAAAAATAATTGAAAAATTTTCTTAAGCATTGCAATATATGATATAGTTTAAACATGAAAAAACTTTTTCATTAAACATGCAAAATTATGATGCTTAAACATGGGAGATAGCTGTCACTCGCATTTAAACATAGTATAGATAGATAGATAGATAGCTGAAAGTTCAAAAAAAATGGGAGACTGGCAGACAGACATAATCATATTAATTAAAAAAAGCAGGTATACAGACCGACAGACAGAACTAATTTGGCCTCGCAAAAAAATTACTAAAAATTAATGACTTTGCGGGAAAATAATTGAAAAATTTTCTTAAGCAATATATGATATAGCTTAAACATGAAAAAACTCTTTCGTTGAACATGCAAAATTATGATGCTTGAACATGGGAGATAGCTGTCACTTGCATTTAAATATAGTATAGATAGATAGATTTGAAGGTACCAGTTTCAAAACCAGAAAGTCAAACAACTTATTTTCGAGATCCATTGCTGCAAAAATTTCAACAGCTTACTTTTCGAGATCGAGCAACTTACTTTTCGAGAACCCTTGCAAACAAAATCAAAATTTCAATCAATGTGGCTCAGATGATACCAAGTTGTAAATTTTTTTGGCGACAACAATTTATTGACATATAATTTGTTAAATTTTAAGACAGAGGAGTTAAATAATTTTGTTCATAGATTGAGGGATGTCCTCATACTCGAAAACTCTAACTTGTTCAATTTATCTTTGCATGATGATATAAATTTGACTATGTTTTGATGTCGGGTGGGGTTGCTCGAACTGTATTCTCTCAAAAGATGAGACGTTGTTTCGAACAACTTAGTTATATACAATTCAAGCCTGATAATTCGAATACAGCGATGGCTGGCTTCATTTTGCATCAATAGATCATTGTCATATTTTCGGAATTTCCAAGAACTGTTAAAGTCGGGGTGTTAAGACCCCGAAATTTCCCCAAATTATGATTGACGTGAAATAGAATATGATTGACGTGAAATAGAATATGATTGACGTGAAATAGAATATGATTGACGGGAAAAAATGAGCGACATATGGTTGGGTTGAAAGTTGAGATAGCTGTCACTTGCATTTAAATATAGTATAGATAGATAGATTTGAAGGTACCAGTTTCAAAACCAGAAAGTCAAACAACTTATTTTCGAGATCCATTGCTGCAAAAATTTCAACAGCTTACTTTTCGAGATCGAGCAACTTACTTTTCGAGAACCCTTGCAAACAAAATCAAAATTTCAATCAATGTGGCTCAGATGATACCAAGTTGTAAATTTTTTTGGCGACAACAATTTATTGACATATAATTTGTTAAATTTTAAGACAGAGGAGTTAAATAATTTTGTTCATAGATTGAGGGATGTCCTCATACTCGAAAACTCTAACTTGTTCAATTTATCTTTGCATGATGATATAAATTTGACTATGTTTTGATGTCGGGTGGGGTTGCTCGAACTGTATTCTCTCAAAAGATGAGACGTTGTTTCGAACAACTTAGTTATATACAATTCAAGCCTGATAATTCGAATACAGCGATGGCTGGCTTCATTTTGCATCAATAGATCATTGTCATATTTTCGGAATTTCCAAGAACTGTTAAAGTCGGGGTGTTAAGACCCCGAAATTTCCCCAAATTATGATTGACGTGAAATAGAATATGATTGACGTGAAATAGAATATGATTGACGTGAAATAGAATATGATTGACGGGAAAAAATGAGCGACATATGGTTGGGTTGAATGTCTCGTATCCTAAGGCAACACGTGCTGAGTGAAATAAAATCGACATTTATATCGAAAATGAAAATCGAGTATGAAATGACATTGCTACTAGTTGGAAAATATTTCGGATATTTTGAAAACTGAATGATAAAACAAGCAGAGGCGGATTTATGGATCTTTCACAATTTCCCGCCCCTCGTGAAATAGCAAAATAAAACTGTTCAAAAATTGTTAACACGGCGTTTTGCATGTTATAAATCTTGTGAAAATTTGTTGACATGTTCACGCTGACACGTTTTGATGCAGTTTCTATCATGAAAAGTAATTTTAAATAGGCTTTCCTAAAATGAATTTCGGAAAATCAAAAGTGCGAACTGGAAAAGAGCTGAACTTAGGGAGCTAAACTTGGGAACTGGAAAATACCTAAAATTATTAAGCGCCAATGTATACTAATTTCATAGGGGATCACGCGCTGAAAAAATTCAACTTTTTGGACAAATTCCACTCCTCAAGAGAAAATCTCAGATCCGCCCCAGAAAACAAGCGTTCTTCTAAATATTTAAATTGAGCTATAAAATACCTATGAACTTTTTTTAAATCAAAATACTCGCTTTTTTAGAGGCTTGGGATTACTTGTATCAAACCTGAGCTCTGGATAATCATAAATCCTGAGAACCGAATTGATTCATTGCAATGCTGATAACTAATAAACTGCTTATACAATATCAACTGCGAACTTCTGTTTTCCTTTTTTTTTTTAATTTTTATAGAAGCGTTTGTCAATTTGGCCCGCTTGAACTTTGTTGAGGTTAAAAAAAACACGAAAATTGTGTGTAATTTAAAGTAAATATAATTAGACCGAAAAAATCCCATTTTTACAAAAAAAAATTGGATCCGAAGTTTACAAAGCAAAACAAGGATAGCCGGTTGCTGTCCAAGCAGCGCAGAATGTTCAGGCAAAAAACTTTACAATTTTCAAATTAGTTTAGATTTTTTGCGTCTTGTGTTTAAAAGATCTATAAAAAGGCCTTGAACTGGGGCATGTTTGACAGTTATAGGTTTAAAGGAAAAAAAAGTTTTTTTTTGAAAATCAGGATAGAAGAAAACTGACTTGAATTTTAAAAGCTTCCACGCTCGAATTAAAAAAAAACACATGGCTTTACTTTTCTTTTGTTTTCAAGAAAAATATATGAATGAATCTTTCCTGATAAAAAAAAACCTAATTTGAACAAAAAAATTGGATCAAAAGGTCATCTTTTTATTCCACTGTGAAATATGAAAAATTAATCCACTTTCTAAACTAGAATTTGTTCAATTTTTTGTGACCTTACACTTTTGCTATTCATTAGTGGAATTTACCTTCCTTTCAACAAAGGAAATGACCTTAATTTAGAAAGAAATGAAAATTCAAAAAACCGCGACAAATAAAATTTGAGCGTGTTAAAATTTATGTCTTTTCTTAAAAAAAACATGCTAACATATCATCACGACCTAAATTAAAGTTTGACCTAAAAAAAACCAATAACAAAATCGTCGAGACATATATGAGAGTATTCACTACGTTCATGATTCTTAAAAATCATGAACGTAGTGAATACTTTAAACTTCACTTTCGAATCTAGAAGTTCGTATTTGGAGAGCGCAATTTGCCTAACTCCAAGCAGATGAATCTGAATAGACTTTTAAAAATGCATATCTATGAAAGATCATTCATAATTGCATTTGTATGAATGCACATCTGTGGTTATAAGAACAATTTAAATTTTTTCCTAGAAAAAAAGTTAATCAAAAACTCACCAAGACAATTATATAAAAATCGGATTTCTTAGAAAAAAAACATAGATGGTCTTGAACCTCTTTGAATTTCTAAAACAATTATGACTGAAATTTTTTTGGCAAAAGAAACGCAATTTGAGAAAACTGAATTAATGCGTAAAAATTTGATGGTTCCTGTTTGATAAAAACTATTTTTATGAAATGTATGGGATCAGGTTTTTGTATTTTTGATAATTTTTTAAAGGCTTCGGAAAATTTGTTCTTTTCAAAAAACTCAATTTGTTACTCAGAAACTACTCGACTGAACTTCAACAAATTAGTACCAATGGGAAGTCCATCCACTACCCTGTATGCTTGCATAATCTCCTAGTCTTTTTTGAGCCACTTTCTACAGCCTTTGAAAAAATCTGTGGGGGAATTTTTGACCCATAGTTTCCTCAAAAATTTTCAAAATCTCAGATTTTGGTTTCACTGGATGAAGCAGGTTGTGAGAAGCTCCCTGCATAAGCGTTTACTCCCAATTTTTTACACAAAGTAATGACCCTCGCAAAAGTCAAATTTATGATTTTTCGACAATTTTTTTGATTTCTCTCAAAAAAGGCCCTCCAAAATCTGTTTTGGTTTCAATGGTACAACAAAGTGTGGAAAACTCCCCTGCATTAGCGTTTACCTCTATTTTTTTTCACTGAAAAAGTTATGCTCCTCGGAACGTTAAACTTTCGCTTTTATGAACTTGTTTTGAAACTTTCTCAAAAACTTATTTCCTTAATCTGAGGTTTGGTTTCATTGGGTAGAACGAAATGTGCCAAGCTCCTCTGCATAAATTGTTACGCCAAAATTTTGTTACACAAAAGTTAAGACCGTCGGGAAAGTCAAATTTTCAATTTTTCGAGCATTTTTTGAAACTTTTTGAGTTTCCTCGAAAATTACCATCCCAAATCAAAGCTTTCCTGTAAAATCCAAGTTTGTTTTAGAAAAGTTAAGGCCTTCAGAAAAGTCGATGCTTTGATTTCTTGTCCGTTTTCGAAACTTTTTGACTCCTCTCGGAAATAACTCAATCTGATTTGAAGGGTTAATCGAGACAATACGTTGTGGGAACATCTATGCATAAAATGTTACGCCCCTAGATTTGTTCAAAATTATGTCCCTTTTTAGTTCGCGTGGAGATGTGATTATTTTAATCCACTTTCGAGACTAGAAGTCAAAAACGTTTTTCGTACCCTTTAGACTTTTGCTGTTAGATAGCGAAGTGTGCCTTCCTTTTACACTGACAAAGCTTTGCTTCCCAAACGCTAGCAAAAACACGACAAAAGCAGCTTTACAAAATGCAATAAGAAAAATTAGAAATACGCTTCGAATCAGTAAAAATTGGGTTACGTCTGATCTTTGAACCTGCGACTTCGAGATTAAGAGCGTCACAAACTAACCAATCAGCCACGGACGCTTAAATTAGTACAAAACACTAGCCAAAAATAGAGCAGAGAACATATGCGCTGCAATTTCCACTGCTACAGTGAACTTTTCAAGTGAACACTTGTAATGAACACTTATGGCAGTTTTAGTGAACACTTTTAATGAACACGAGTTAGGCAACGAAAAAAGAAGGTTCGTAATAATGCACTAAGCTGATGGCTAGTGTTAACAATGGAAACGACTGTTCCAAAAAACGAAATTAAAAAATTGTCATGACCTATAGAAGAGTCTGAACAACGTTCATTGAGTCTCGATACACAAAAAATTTTCATGAATAAAAATCAACTGCAGGCTTAGATGATCTTCTATTTACATCATTGGTTAACATGGAAACACGTTTCGAGCGAAGCTTCTGTTGGTCGTTAATTAATTTTGAACTGTTTAGGACCCCTAGTACACTTACCAAGCCAGGAAATCATCGAGGTTTGAAAACAGTTTTCATTAAAAGATCAATTCGGTGATTTGATATCACAACATTCATTCAATCTCTTTTCAAAAGAGTTTTAAATAAACAGCCTGCTCATCAATTCAGTTTTGCAAACCAATAGTTAGCAGCAGGTTATGAATGGAGATAGCAACAAATAGTACGTTCTGTTATTTTCTGATCTTCTGTTTTATTCTGCATCGACTTGTTTAAACTGAATAATGTCTAGATGTGGTATGTATATCCTATCAGTGAATACTCGACCAATCAATCCATCATCACTAGCAGTTAAGCTAAACTTACTTCTCTAGAAAGCACTGAGAACTATAAATTAACATCTGGGCGAAGTAGTTTGAAGATCAAGCCTTGAAGATCAGTAAAGAGTTTGAAGAGAGGTAGCAACTGCTAATTATGTACATCATTTAACCAATTTTAAATCATCAACGAAGTTAAGTCTGCAGATAATGAGCTAATGGGGTCAGACATTCGAAAGCAAAGCCACAAACGCAACTTGTAACAAGCAATAACAAAGTTATTCAAAATTGGAAGACAGTCAGAAAAAAGCTGGGCTTCGAAAGTTTGACAGCAGTATATCAAATAACATTACTTCTTAAACATAACAAGGCTTTCAGAGTCATTATTGGCAACTTAGCTCTAAGAGAATGTAAGATAAACAATCTTTAAGTATTCTTGAAATAGCATTTGCTTTTTTGAAATAGGCTAGTTATTCTTAAGACTGAACACTTAATCTTCACAACGGCTGTGGTCTGAATGATGACAGAGAAGTCTCCAGGAAACTAAGCTCATAGCCATGTCATGTCAAACAACACGATTTAAAAACAAGCTAGTTGCTTGCAAGAGTGTACGAAGGAATCACAAATCCATGAGCTAAACAAAAAGATTTCATGTAGTAAACGAAAGCATGCCAATGCAAATTAAGGAGTGATTACAAATAAACTGTTTTCAAAGCAACACCAATCTTTTTAAGTACGTTTCTAAGCTCAAAGGCACTTTCTATAGATTTTACCTCATAACTAAATTGGCAAGTTTTTATCACACATCCATGTTTCAGTTTTGCGTGTCAATGTTGTTGTCTTTGCCAGAATTACAAGTAGTAGTTCCTCTTAGTCATATTGGACAAGTCCACTCGGCATGCTTCGTCATTGATGTAGAGATTCTTTAGCTTCCGCACACAGTCCTGTGCTCCGTTTAGAGTGTCGAACACAAGGAATGTTCGGTTCTCTCCTCGCTGCCAGATCATCCTCGTCGGCCTCACTTTTCGGTCTGCCAAAACATCCCCGAACATTTCCTCGCCACACTCCTCCGGAATGTCCCCGACAAACACTGCCGGACGCATGTTCGCCGGCACAAATTCATTCGGTCTTCCTCCTCCTTGTGGTCCACCTCGTCGACCCATTGCATGAGGTGGCATGGGTCCGTAGAAACCCTGGTTTCTGTACCCATATCTTCCCATCCTGCCATTGGGAGGCGGGAAGAATCCTCCGTTGTATCTAGCATTGGGAGGCATGTTGTATGGATTCATCCATGGAGGCATGTCGTACGGCGGGTATGCATTGTACCTTCTGCCCCCTCCTCCTCCCCCTCCCCCTCGCCCACCACCACCCCTATTCTCGCCACCCTGTTCGGTTTCTGAGTTCAGACGGTTGCTCTCAGATTGGCGGTTCCTTCGGTTTCGGTTCCTACGGGGTCGAGCACTGTCTTCAGCTCCGCTGTTGTCTTCTCCTTTCCCCGAAGTCTCTCCTGGAAAATTTCAATGAATATACTCTTAGTGATTGCTCAATATTTGCAGGCTCCGCGTTAAACATGTCATTTTATCTACCTTTGTTCAAAGATTTCCCCAATTTTCGTCCTCTCAGAGAGTTAAAAATAGTTGAGTAAAAATGTTTACACTGATTTATTCAAATTTTCTCGCTGAAAAAGTTTCACGACGCATGAAAAACTCTTTTTTTACTCAACTTATTCGAGAAAGGTAACTCCGATGCAAAACTTAGTGCAGATGAGAAAATCGGTTATTTTCAGACCCGGATAAATTCTTTGTCTTTGATACCAAGCATTGATAGTTTTGCAGAAGCAACCTCTGATCATTTGCTCTTGGTCTATGAAAAATGTACCAGAAATTGGAAGCAAAATTAGTCCAAAATGGACACTGAAAACATGCATTATAGAGTAAAAACCTGAATTTGCGCTTAATTTTGTCTACTACACTAGTGGACAAAATTAAGCGCAAATTCAGAATTTTACTCTGTAAAATGCCTGCTTTCAATGTATATTTATAAAAACATTTTCTGCTAAATTCAGTAAAACTTTTACATTGGCCGAGAGCAAATGATCAGAGCTACCATCTGTGAAAGTATCAATATTTGGTTTCAATGATTTACCAATAAAATCCGGGTCTGAAAATGCCAGTTCTCCTCCTCTGCACTAAGTTTTTTATCGTAGTGAAATCTTTCTTGAATAAGCGTAGTAAAAAATTTGTTCATGCAACGCGAAACATTCTCAGCGATAAAATGGAAACAATCGTGTGAAATTTCTACTAAACTCAGACTTTTTCATGCCAAGGATTTTAAAAACTTAGTGCAGATGAGGAAAACTGGCATTTTCAGACCCGGATTACATTGGTAAGTCATTGAAACCAAATATTGATACATTCACAGATGGCAGCTCTGATCATTTGCCCTCGGTCAGTGTAAATTTTTTTCTCATTTTCGAAGGAAATGTTGCCCAAAATGAACATCAAAAACAGGCTTTTTGCAGAGTAAAATCTAGAATTTGCGCTCAATTTTGTCCACTAGTGTAGTGTAAACTCTTACCTCCTTCGGTATCATTTTCAACGTTTCTTCTTGAGTCGTCTCGGTTTCTCATTGACTTCTCACGGCGCTGATTGCGTCTTTGCCGCACTCGCTTAGCAATACTTGCAGCTGCGTCTCCGCTTCCTGCAGCCGATGCCTTGTTCGACCCGTCGACTGCCTCATCTTCGTTGACCGACTTCTCGCGACGTCTTTCCCTCTGGAAACTCCTCTTCTTTTTAAAGTGTCGGTTCCTTGCGTCAGGTCCATTTCTTCGACGGCGGTTGAATCGACGGTCGTTATATGATCGGCCTCCTCGCCTAGCTTGATTTGTTTGACAGCTCTTGTCGACTTCGTTGTCGTCGCCAATGTAGCTTACCGAATCAGGGTTCTGGCCTGCTTTGACAGCCAAGGTAACATCTACGCCTTTGGCTTCCTCTTTTTCTCGCAGTTGCTTCAGAATAGGAACCCTTTCCATTTTGCGCTCGGTGATTTTCGACCAAACAATTCCTGCAAAAGCCAATCAATATTTGTTCATTCATAAATAAAATTTAACATTTACAGCTAAGTTATATAACTTAAAGCTCAATTACTGGAGAGTCAACTACCTGAGGGCTTTTTGATTGGGTTCTCGACCATCAAGGTTTGCGTAGGGGACACAATGACATCAACGGGTAGATCGTACTCCTGGAAAATATCCTCTGGTATATCATCTTTGATCTGACAGTCATGTACACACGTGATCACAGGGGTATCCACGGTCACAGCTCCCATTGACATCATCATTGCCCACTCAAGGTCAGCGAAGCCCTCTCCTTTGCCCAGCCTTCGTCCCTTTCGTGTGACAACTGAACATCCCATGATGACCAGATCTACTTTGGCTTCGTCATCCAGACCGACTGGCGTGCTAAATGTCTTCACTCCCTCGCTAGTCGCACAGAGCGCGATTTGTTCATCAGTAGCATTTACAGGAGGGTTTATCTTGTTAAAGAGCCCTGTAGCGAGTCGTGAAGTTGGCACAAGCAGGGTTTTATTCTCTTTCAGAGCGAAGTATCGTAGCTTCTGTTGCGGCCTGTCGGGTCCAATCACAACAGTCTTAGCCTCCTTGAACTGTGGCATCTCCGCTAGCAACTCACACGCCACATCCGATTCTTTGAAGTTCGGAATCCTCTTCGTGACCGGACGGGGAGATGCTGCAATGTTGTTCTTTTCCATGTAGATCCAGGTGTCATACCTGAACGTAGCTTTCGTTGGAGTCTTCGGCTCTTTCGGGGTTCCGTCAACAACCAGAAAAGTCGACCGCTGAAAAGGGATAGTGCATTGCGTCTGCTTTGTCGAGTCATCTACAATTTCAACCTCTAACAGCGACGCCGGGTCTGCCAGCAGAGCTGCTGTTTTAGCTGAAAGTTGACGACGCCGGCGACCAGCTTTCCCCTCATCATTTGGAGAACTCTTCTGGGAATCCGAGGAGGGATGCGCGTTGTCCGCATCACTCGTAACATGCTCTGCAGGTGTTGATGAGTTGTCACCCGCTTGGACAGTCGTATCTGGAGGCGCAACGGCCTTGTCTTCAACTTGTCCTTCAGTAGTCTGGGTCATTTCAACACAAAACTGGAAAAGTTAAAACTGCGTTTTACACGTAAATTTGCTCAGAACTGAAGTTAGAAGTCAAAAAGTGATGAACTGATTCCATTACCGCGTGAAAATTCCCACAAATATTCACAAAGAAGTGAACAAACGTGAAGACATGACTTTTGTCAGTAATTTCATAACGTAACTTCAAAACAAACCGAAGAACGCAAAAGTCAAAAAGAAAACAGATCAAATTTGAAAAATAATGTTCATTTTGTTACAAGCTACAAACAAAATCTAACCAAATAGTATTTCAACAATTTAAAACATTGATTAAAGCATTGATATCAAACTGAAACTTTTTCATTTATTTATTCAGTATTAGGAATGGAAATGCGGTCAAAATAATTCTAAGCAAACGACACTTGAAAACTCGCAGCATCAAACAGAACTAATACTGCAAATAATTCGAACATGTATTATAGATAGGGTGATATGCATCGGTGAATTGGAAAACTAGCGCTAATTAATTTTACAACACTATCAAAATTAATTAAGTAAAAACTTCCCAGTAGTCAACAACATTGCTTAAAAAGAACTTTCGGAATGTAATTTCGAATATTTCATCACAACGACAGTTAAAACTCGGTCTATCCAGAACTAAATGCAAAAGCACAAGTTTTCATTTAAAAGATTATTTTGTGAGTCCTTTCAATTTACTGAATATATTTCCTTCAGATTTCCCAATCCCTGAAGCTGGACTGGATTTTGAGTTATTTACACCACTGACAGGAATGATTCCAACCTTTATTTCTAAATCGCGTATGAACCCATTCAAAGTATCGATCGTTTCATTTGTGGATCCGCCAAGCGACACCAATTCAACTTTGAGCTTCCGAATTCCGGGCAAAAGGCTGATGTTGATGACCTCATTAGGGTATTCGGAACCTTGTGGGCAAACAGACGAATAAAACTGAACCAAAAGTGTACATATTTTTCGCTTCTCAGTTTCGTCCGAACCCTGGTGGGCTGTGCTGAACTGCTCAATAATCGACGAAATTCGTCGCAACACAAACTCGTATCGTAGTCTCTCATTTACAATATTTACAATTCGGCTTAAAGTTTTGATAGCCTCAGCTTGCAGAGCAACATCATCAATTAAACTATCCAGTTGCATCGAAACCTAAAACAAAAATTCAAACATTTTGATAAAAACTCAATTAGAATTGGGCAAGCTATCGACGATTAAAATTAATTTCATAAAACAAAATCCCATAAAACAAACTCTTAGCTTGTCCGCGAATAGCATCCAATAATAACAATAAAAAGAAAAAAACATAACGAAAAAACCAGATCTATCATGGTTTTCATGTTTGTCACTGTTTTTCATGAATAATAATCCTTTTCAGAAAAACATGCCAACTAGGACAACTGAATGTTTAAATAAACATCGCACCAAGGATTAGCGAAGCGGTCACAAGCCGACAATAGTTGAACAGAAACCCATTGACCAGGAAAAAAATCCTCCCCTCAAAACACACTTGAAAATGTTTACGCTCTTTTTCCTCGACCCCCCCCCCCCCCCACCTCACACGAGCATCAATTTTATGGTCTAACGAGTAGTCTTACAAGGTTGATTATAAAGACTAAACATGTTTGCCATGGCCTAGTTAGTCTGTATGTCAATTTTCACGACAATCGGATAATGTGAACAGTAATTTTAATCATAAAAGTTTGCAGGTTGAGGGAAAAAGAAAAAGAGCCAATATTTATAGCTCTAACGAAGCAAAATGAGGACATACAACCGAAATCGAAAAAAATTAAAAAGGAAATTTCAACAAGCGGAGTTGATAAAGCGGAGTTTTAGAACTAACATTAAACAATTTCGAAAATAAAGGGAATTTAAGAAGCAGACAGGCTCAAAACATGTCTGCTGATAGACGAAACTACAGATTGGAAGATTTACTAAAATATGAGATCCTGCGAACAGAGTTATTTGAGGGAAAAAAAGACAAGTACCCGGTTGCAAAAATCTTGCTTATCACAAGGGTACAAAAAATAGAAACTATAACTGTATATTTAATATTTTTAACTAAATTGCCTGTTCTTTTCTCAGTAAAAAAAGGATCGAAATAGCTTTATGCATCAAAATAACAAATAGCTAAACAAAAAAGCTAATCAATGACAGGAGATTTAAATTGAGAGAATATTTACAAATTACTCTCATCATACCAAATTTTGTGTCATTTATTGTGAAAAACAGAAAATTAGGTTCGAAAAATTTTCCAGAAAATTGAGAAAATCAATTTTCCAGTTTTTTTTTGGAAAAATTTTATATTTCGAACTGATGATTTTTTATTTCGTCGAGAAATTATTTTTTATTTCAAAGTCATTTCATTTTGAGCCACATTTGTACTTATGTTACCAAAGACTGTAGTTAGCCTTCCAATTGTAAATGATATAGAATGTGAACTTCAAAAAAATCAAAAGTCACACCTCCTAATTATAGAATAAAACGTGAACAAATTTTCATGTATTTTCTTAAAAACAAGACCTAGGCAAATGAAAATACTAGTAATTGAAACTCGAAACCATATCTGAAGACGATTTTTCAAGTCACGGTTGAAAATCCTAAAAAATAAATTTTCTCTTCCAGGTGTTTTTTTAACGGTCATATGCCTAGTTTTGATAGTCCATTTTTCCTATTGATGAGCGGAATTCGAGCGGAATATGAAAAAATATATATCAACTTCGGAGCTCAAACACCTGAAAAAACACCTCGTTTATAGAAGTATACTGAAAAAAAAATACACCAGCCTAAGTCAGTGAAAATCTATTTAGTTGATCAAATCTTAAAACTGATTAAAACTATAAACGGGTCTCCAAGCACAAGCACAGTTTTAACTTTACGATAACAAAGCTCTTCCATGAAAAAAGGATGCTGACCTTGTCAATGTTCTCTTGAGTTGTGGATACCGCCAGCACACTTCCCAGACATGCCATAGTAGCTGCTCTGATCTGGGTGTCCGGGTCACCCGAGAGAGTGATCAAAGCCGGAATCACTCTATGACTCAGCAACGAATCGCCAACCGGTCTTATGAAGAGTTCCAACAAATGACACGCTGTTAGTTTCAGCTGAGAAGAAGCATTTATAATTGCAGAGTAGATAGATTCTGTGAGTACAGAGTGATATGTGCTGTTGGATAGAAGTGCGATTGTTGCCGCTCTCAGACTGAGAATGGGTGCCCGGTTGACAGAGTAGAGGAACAGCATCTCGGAAACGAAGTCTCTGATCTCCTTCATGTCGGAGCTGTCGGAGCTGATTGTAGACAGAACGCCTGCTGCGTACACCGGAACAACCGAACCTAAACACAACAATTCATAAAATAGCCAACAGACAGTTAGAAAAGTATCAACAAACTCAAAACCGAAAAATGATATTGATTTTTTTTTGAAAATCTTTGAAATTTCCAGCTTCAGAGCTCTCTTATTTTCAAAAAATATTTCATACTTGAAATTTTTTCCATAAAACTAACCAAACTTAGGAAAAATAGATCAATAGATGTAATTTTTTTATTCCGCTGAGAAATCTACAAATCCACTTTTCAAAGTAATTCACGTTTTTCACACCATTTGTTCGTCTCTCAATCAGACAGCTTTATTTGTCGTCCTTTCAGCAAATCAATTTGAAATGAACTTAAAAAGAAACCAAAAGTTCAGCTGCTAAAAACCAAATTTGAGGGGGACCTGAAAAAAAAACCAAACCACACGACCTAAATAAGTGTCGTCTTCAACTTGTCAAATGACACTTAATAATCTAAATTTCTCCCATAAAAAGTCAATAAAATCATTGGAAACGTCAACTTCTACTTCAGTTATCTCATTGAAAACTGGAAAGACAAAAAAGTTAAAATCTTATCACCGAGTGTTTTCAATTGTAATCCTAACATAAGACTGATAACCCAAGAATTTTCATCTCAGATAGCTATTTTAATTGAATTACTCTGAAACAAGATAAGGCAGATAAAATCAAATGGCAAGATAATTGTAAATAAACTGAATGTAATTTTGAAAAGAATTTAAATGCCACTGCCCTCAAGAGAATTAATTGTGGTGAATTTGATAGAACATGCTCTAAGGGTGCAGATTTAATTTTCGTAGTTCATAAAGCTCAAAAACTCAGTTACTTTAGCTGGATCCACAGAAGAGCAAAAAAGACTTCTAAGAAAGCGCAATTTGATTGACAAAATTAAACTAAAACAAAAAATCCATGTGCAGAGCAAATTTCGAAATGATTGACCAAAACTCGTAACAGATTTGCGGTCGCAGCTGAAAAATGGACTAACCGTTCAAAACAGACACAAAATGCGCGTTGTTGAAGTTCTGCGCGTCAGCGTCGAAAGTGAGCTTTGATTTGAAAATCGGAACAAATTTCGCAACGGTGAAACTTCTGCCAAAAACTCTGCAAAGCGAGTAGCAAACAGTTGACATGCTGTTCACGCAAGGAACTGAATTGACATCAAGCTGCAATAAAATCTGGACCAATCTTGGTAGCAGCTCATTAATAACCCACGTCAACTGCGGCCATTCGGGATGTGTTGTTTCTTTTAGATACTCGTCAAAAGTGTGGATCAAGTACGCAAGATGCGATGAATCATCGACCATAGACCTCACGTCTTGAGCGGCAATGACGCTTTGTGGGAACCTGGCGAAAATCTCCTGTTCTTGAGCCTGTGTCAAAAGATGTTCTTTGCTGGGCGGGGGTTTCTGGGCGAAAGGAGAGCTCTGCACCACACTCATGAAGAGAAATGGTAGAAAGGATTCCAGACTGGCACAATAGCAAATAAAAGGTGACATAAACTCGGGCACTGATTGGTTGGATTTTGTTGCATTTGATTGGATGGCTTCGCTTGAACTAAAATGAAACAATCACTTTTTATCAAATTATTTTATAACTCACAAATTTAAAAAAAAACTTAGAAAACAAAATATAACTTTTACCATTCAGAAATCTTACTTCATATTTAAGAAACTTTATCTCCATCTATCATTTCAATGCCAAGTCCGCCAAACAATGAACTCGATGCATCCAAGAGACACCTTAGTCGACAACTTACGCGAGACCAAAAAGATCTTAAAAACTGAACAAATATCATCACCGCACCATTTACGCTTAAATTCCTAAAACTAGGAGCTGCTAAACAAAATGAAACAAAAGCGATTGAAGCCTGTATTTAATTTCGAATGAGGCCTTCCGATGGCCCATTGTCTGACGCTCATCGCCAGCCCGATCAATTCATGACCGCATCATTCTTTTTCGGAAGAGTGATGGTGGCCCAATAATTTTTGAATAAAATTCTACCAGCCACAAAACAAAACAAAACAAGGATAGCCAGTTACTGTGCAAGTAGGACGGAATATTCCGACCAGACTTACAAAAAATTAGTGTCGTTTTTTCGGCCTGGTGTGATAAAATAATCTGAGCGAAAAAGTAAAGCTGTGCAAGCTACTTAAACAAATTTATACACTGCCAAAAATATGTTCTACTTTTTTATCCAGTATGTACAAATCTCTAAACTTGTGTAGGTAGTCTTTTAACAAAACAAGGATAGCCAGTTACTGTGCAAGTAGGACGGAATATTCCGACCAGACTTACAAAAAATTAGTGTCGTTTTTTCGGCCTGGTGTGATAAAATAATCTGAGCGAAAAAGTAAAGCTTGGGCATTTTCGTCAGTCATTGTAAAAGTTGCAAATAACAAAAAAAGCTAACACTAAGATGAAGCTAAAAACTCCAAAAACTAACTTTATTTGAGTAAAACTAAAATTTCAAGGCTTAAATTAAACATAAATAAGCTTATGTAAGCCTGCTCACTCGCTTGAAATTAGACGAAAAATCAAAAATTTCCAACCGGTTTTTCTCGACACCGGTAAATCTTTTTTGAAACTTTCAAAGTTCGTTTGAATCACGACTGAAAGGGCACTCAACCCAGTCCGATGATTATTTGAGTTAGCTGATTTTGCGTGGAAAACAAAAAAAACTAAAACTACAACCCGAATACAAAGTTCCTCCCCATTTTCAATGGTTGGAACAACAATGAAGTAAACTTCTGCAACGCAGTTTTCAAGTTTTTTAGTACCTTCAACAACAAATTATTTATATCAGTACTTCTACACTCGAGAGAACATCAAGAAGGCGTTGCTTCCTGTCGAGTGCTGTCTCTAAAATCATTCTTCAATCTCAATTAATTCAAGCTCAATCAAGTAATCAAGTTTCAGATTCCAGCTTCATATTCAACCTTAAAAACTGCTACTTAAACAAATTTATACACTGCCAAAAATATGTTCTACTTTTTTATCCAGTATGTACAAATCTCTAAACTTGTGTAGGTAGTCTTTTAATGACGTCATTTTGTAAGCAGCCTCTTTGAAACTTTTTTCAGAAAATTTAGAACAGGAAAAATTATTCGTCGCGTCTTTTCGCTCAAAGTTAGTGTATAACATAGAGGCGATGCGTAGCTTCGCACAACTTGCGATACCATACAAACTATACCACGCATTTCAAACTAAAGAAAATATCTGGAAAAACCATAGCTTCAAAAATTCTGAAATGTGCTGTTTGCGGAACACACGTCCAGAAGCACAATAACCGGCGTTAAACAAGTCTTCAGAAACATTTATCGACCGCGAACTAAACTGACAAAATTCCCATCTGGTGGGGGTAAGTTTGTTGAAGTTCTGAAAGTTAGTTCCCCCCACCCTCCGGAAACAAACAAATGAATATAAATCTTTTCCCCTTCAAACGACGTAAAAATAGGTCACTAACCAGAAAAAGCATACGCCGAATTGAGGCAATAGAAGCTTTTCACCAAATGAAATACTTAAAAATAATGACAAAAAGTCTGATTCAGTTAAATCGAAAACACACAAAAAAAGTTAGAAAATATTCAACTACAATGACAAGTGCTTAAAATACAAAAAATCCGCGATGTGATAACTAAGCAAACAAAACAAAAGCAGACAAACATTAAGCCAATGTTTCTGTTTAAAAACTTAATGTTTCGTTCATTTCGTAATTGTAAAAAAAATGTCATCCTGGAAAGAATCGAACGTTCCAGGCGTAGTCGCTACCTCTAGATCAAGTGTGCCCAAGAAGCTGATAAAATGGAATTTATTTAAACCCAATCTACCCAATGATTGAAATGATTTTGTTAGCTAGTTATTAACCCAAAATAGTCTTTTTGATCAGATTTTATAATTTTTTTATCGTCAGCGTAACCAGTCCTAGATTTTTTTCCGTTTTCGACGAAAATTCACAAAACTTTGACATTTATACAAGTGAATTAAGACAAGCCAAATATGGCAAAAGGTGCTTTTGCAAATCAAAAATTACAAAACGATGGTGTTAGAGGTGTCTTTTCCTGGAAGACTATCTAAACTTTTCATCCAAAAAATCGCACAATTTGACATTTATACAAATAAGGACACAAGCAAAAAATGGCAAAACGTGATCTTGAAAATCAAAAATTACAAAACCGTGGCGATAGAAGTGTACCAAGCTGCTCCAAAGGTCACCAATGCTTTTATAGCCTCCAAAATTGTTCAGTTTATTGCTGCTGTTCCGTTGAAAACGTCGAATTAGTTCGAGACTAAGTTAGCGAATCAAGCTTGAGAAAACAACGCGATATTAGTTTCTCTTATGCTTATCATTAAACACCAGGCAGCAGCGAATGGGCCATAATTCAGCGAATAGAGCTGAAGATGTTTTCAAAATCTTCAGCTTTTGCTTGCAATTCATACTGTGGCCAAAACCTCAATTTCTAGATTTTTCTGAACTCAGAATTGCTCTGATGAGAGTAACGTAATTTGCGGAAACAAGATCAAGAGTTAAACTCTTTATTCCACTGAACACTTTCAGATTTATCAAAAAAACCGCACGGTATAATCGACTGAAAAATCACTTCGTTCTTTAGTACTCTCCATTAACGCATGAACAATTTTTTGCAAAACCTCGCAGTGAAATATGCTATTTTGGTTGCGAAAAAGCGGACGTTTTATTACATAACTCCGCAGTGTAATTAGGCGTCAATTCAATGGTCTTTGAAAGGACTGACGCCCATCCTCTTAAAGCGACCCCTCCCTTCATTTACATTTTGACAGGTATGCGTTAGTAAAAACGACTTACGAAATTATTTCTGTTTTAAATAAAAACTACACGTAGCCAACAGACAGATGCAAAAAGACAATGAACGCAAGGAAGCAGTTAAAAAATACTTACTTTAATTTTGGAAAAAAATGAACTTAACAATTTTTGAGGGCGAAACCCATTAAACCAAAATTAAAAAAAAATTAAAAGACAAAGAAAAATATGCAAAGCCAAGGCTAGTAAAATTACCGAAAAAATCAAAACACCAAGGCAACTACAATATAACTTGCGTAATAATTTAAAAAAAAAAACAATTCTAAGAGTTGGCAACTGAGCCGACAAAACATAAGCTGACAAATAGTAGGCCAAAAATTTTTGATTGCGAGACCAAACTGTGAATTTTGTAAATTCCTGCGCTTAACATAGTGGTCAAATAAATTTCCCCATCGCAAAGAAAACAATGTTTACTCACTCGAGAAACATTTCGGTGTCGTCTGACAAAGTCTCCTTCAACAAATTGTCCATGTACTGAACCACAATAAACACAGCATTCTGCAACAAATCCTGTTCCTGCTGCATAGTCCAGAAGGCAAAACATGGGATCATGTATTGCCTCACCGCTATTTGTTCGGTCTCAAACGGAGACTTAATGTACTTCAAAATGAACTTCAAATACGAGTCAAACTTTTCATCCGTTCGTAGTAGACATAGAAGAAAAGCGAGACCCTTCAAGGCAGCGGACACGACCATGTCTTCCTTGTCGTCTAACAGTTGTGTCAAAATTGAGTACACTAAACTGGATGCAATGTCCACGTCCATATACGGTAATAATGCGGTGGCTGTTTCGGCTACTAGAACACGGCGCTCAACGTGCTTTTCATTCATTTGACCCCAGCACAGGGGTAGAACTTCAGCTTCGACTCTTGATGGACCTACACAATTTTATTGGAAATATATCACTATCATACTTGATTTTCAGATTTGGCATCAATAAAGTTTTAAATTTTTCTTTTAACCCTGTGATTAATTTGGTGGGCCAAATACTAATCAGTGCATTTTAATTTTAAAAATATTATGCTCAACAAAACAAAAGAAATCGGGTGGAAGTATAACTTTCTTTTGTGTTGTGAATTGATTTAGTGTGCCAATTACTCATACGTCTATTTCTTAAAAGCATAGCCAACAGACAGTTGGAAAAAAATTAATGAACGCAAAGAAACAAAAAAATACTGACTTGTTTTTAAAGAAATCTCAACTTTAGAAATTCGATTTAAAAAATAGATCGCCTTAAAGCTCTTTAAATTTCAAGAAACTTTTTTTGAAACTCGAAATCGATCACGTTTTTCTTGACCTTAACACTTTTACTGTTCGATGGTGGATTTCACCTTCCTTTTAACAAAAGAAATTGGGGAGCTTAAAAAGAAACTAACTGAAATTAAAAAGAAATCAAAACTCAAAACAAGAAAAAGGAAATTTGAGCTTGAACAAATTTGAAGACTTTTCCTGAAAAAAAAACGAAAATCATCACGACCTATATATGAGTCTGAACTACGTTTATCGATTCTTAATAAATTACATAGCCAAACGAATTGATGACTATTGGTACTGAATACCTGCTCTTCTCGCGTAGGTTAGGCAGCTCTGGCAAATCACGTGTCGTTGTCTTATGTCTGGCTTCTTCACCAAATTGAACAACAACTCAAGTAGTTTCATCCTCGCCTCTTGCTCAGGATGTACAGTAATGGTCTCTATAATGAGTGGAATCGCTTCTATTCTATGCTGAAGAAGCACGTTGGCAACCAGATTAGGTAAACATTTCTCTGATATGTGTGCTAAGTCTCCTCCTTTCTGCACGCTATCCAGTATATTTTGGTGCTCCTGGTCCAAATTGGCGACTGCTGGAGTGTTAAATATGGCATTCTTTACTAGGACGAGATATCTTTTCGAGAACAAGGGAGAAAATTTCATCTCTAAATTATCATTTGATTCGTCTAGTTTTTCACGACAGAATTCGGTTTTCCCTGCTGTGCTATCTAACTTTTCAGAATTTGGCATTTCAGTTCGTTTCAAATTTGCCTGTAAGTCAAAAAGTTCATTTTCCAAACCTACATTTTTAGTGTTCAGCTGTTTGTTTTGGTTCTGTATCAACAATAGTTCATGTTTCAGACTTTCAACTTCACTATGCAACCCCTCGAGCTTTGCATTTGAAGCTTCCAATTCTTCTAATCGTTTCTTTAATTCACAATTCTCGTCTTCCATCGACTTCATTTCGTCTGTTAAACTCGTTGATTTATTTTTCCCAGTCGATTCAATGTCATTGCAAAAACTAATACTATCATTCTCTCGCTCTTTCGAACTTTGCGACACACTTTCTCCATTTGTGTTCAGTGATTTCAGACTGCTGCAGCCGGCAGCATCCAAAATCTGATTTTTCTGCTCCTCGTTTAGTAGATTGCACTGCAGCTCTTTGTGGTGTCTGCTTATATTTTGTTTCTTCTGGTGCCTGGATTCCTCGAGGAACTTCAAGTAGATCTCTTGCAGAGATGGAGGCCTGCTCGTGTTAAGACCAACGTCATCCCAGTCTTCGAAATCCTGAGTAAAAAACGATCACTATAAACTCATCGTCCATAAATCAACAATTCCAACCGATGACTTACTTGTAGTTAAGAATGCTCGACCAGGACTAATAAAGCAAAAAAAAATTTATCAAAAGTTTCTTTCGGTGTTTTGTTCCAAGTTTTGAGCCGTTTTCTTCTTCTTAGCAAACAATGAATTGAAAAAAGCGCCAAAATACATAACATAAGGCTAGAAACACTGAGTTTAAGTTCGGGGTGGCTCACTCATAGAGTAATTTCAGATAAGGTAAACCGTCTGTTCGTCACGCTATCTTATTTTCGGCCGGATAGATTCATGCAACTTCTAAGTCTAATACCAATCTTATTCTTACTCTTATATCTCTTAGTCTCAATAGATCTAGTGTATACTGGTATTTGCGAGTTAGATATCAGGAACTACCTTGAAGGAGAACAACTGTCTTCTAAGTTACATTTATTTTGTTCTGTTGCTGAAACTATGAATAGTTTCAGCGTTACAAATAATTGTAAGTGTTAGCTATGGATCATAATTGGCCAGTTAGAAATATTTTATAGAGATAGTTTTATCAATAATATAATTGGATATCAATACTAGTTTCAAACTGGTTCCACTTGTTGGAATTGCTTGCGTTATTGGAAAACAAACATATTTCCAATCCACTGCTGAAATTAAGTCTGAGTATGGAAATATTAAGATTCTCGTACCGAGGTATCTTCGTACCTTTTTCTCGTACCGAGACACCCTTTTGGCTATTTTTTGGAATCCGAACAAAAACTTATGAGCTTCAATATAACATAGCCAACTGACAGTTGGAAAAGAGTAATAAACGCAAGAAAACAAGAAAAAACTTCAACTTTTTAATTTCGTAGATAAAAATAGATGGATTTAAAGCTCTTCGAATTTGTAGAACAATTTATTATTGAAAATTTTTAGATAGAATCAAGCCAATTTGAGAAAATTGGATCAATAGGTAAAACTTGTATTTCGCTGGCAAATCTGATAATTAAATTCCATTTTCGAAATTAGATGTCGATCAAATTTTTCGTGACCTTTATATTTTGCTGTTCTATAGTTGAGTTTGCCTTCCTTTTAACGACTGAAATGAAGTGAGCTGAAAAAATCAAAAGTCAAACCGCGAAAAATCAAAATTGAGCGTGAACAAATTCTAAGACTCTTTCCTGAAAAAAAGAAACGAACAAAAAAAGCCAGCAAGACCTATATAGGAGTACTCATTACGTTTATTACTCTTAATCACTCGACCACCGGGGAGCCGTCGAAGCAATAAATAAAAGAGAGACTACATGCTATAATTCAATTGGTCCAAAATTATTTTTTACTTACCAGTTAGCAGAGCTTCGCACCATTTGTGATAAAATACAAACATAGCATGAAATTAGTTGGCGTAGAATGAAACGAAAACCGCTGTCGAAAAAAAACTATGCCATAATTTTCATATAATTGTTATGCACAATAAATTGAAACGTGAATCTATTAAAATTTGGAAATATTTATCTCGATTTGTCTTGAATCGTAGTTCATTTTCAGAAAACATGCCAAGTGAGAAAATTGAATCATAAATTGATTAACAAACGAAGCGGCAACAAAGGAGACAAACCCTTGAGCCGAAAAAAAAGTGTTTTCCAAGCCAAAACTAAAAAATAAAAAAAGTGTCAAAACCTCCCCTGAAAACACATGCACGAATAATCATGAGTTACTTTATTGCTTAACAAACGATGCAGACTACGCTGATAAAGATGACGAACATTAAGCCGAGTAGACAAATAAAGCAAAAAGCGGAAATTATACCGAATTGGATTTGGTTAAATTAACAACCAACATACATTGAAACTTCAAATCGAACGGGAATTTAAAACGAGAGGCTCAAAATGAAAATAGAGATGCATGAAAAGGATTCAGTTATCTTTGTTCACTGTTCCGTTTTGATAACTCTTTCTGGCCGTAAGCGCAGAAAAATGGAAGAAATTTTGAACTTATTTTCGAATATCAGAATAATATTTTAATCAAGTGTGGTCTGCACTGCAACCTGTTACACTTGTTTTTCTTTAGATTGTAGATTATTTTTTTCCGAGTATTCAATTTTTTGCAGAGATGAGTGATCGGGAACATCTGCGCAAACTTGCAGAGGAGTCGGCTATTCCTGTTGTTCCGACCACTGATGAATGTCAGGACCGTTGTCTTCAGGCATTTAAATTCACGCAAAAAAAATCTTTTAAATCATTCTACATATAGTGTTTTCATACGCTCATTTTTTAAAAATATATATATTCCACCTGTGATTAATTTTCGGGGGTTTTAAAATTGCCAATTTGGGATAATTAACGCGCGATCAATTTCGGGCTAAAAACGCGTAAGCGGGGAGTCTTAATCCGTCTTAGTAGAAATCGTTCCAAATTAAATTGAGACTTGCTACTTGGTCTACTTAAGAGTTTGCTCCATGCAACTTATATCACTTTCTATTTAACATAGCGTGTGGGGCATTGTTTTCGAAAACAAAAATCTCATACAACTAATTTTTTTATTGAAAATTCGTCAATTTTTAAAGCAAACAAAACACTTTTTATAGAACTTAGAAGCCAGTGGGAATATTCGGCCTGATACCGTCAGTCTTGTTTAATTTTGCCATTATCTAGAGAAAAATAATTTTATTATATTAAGCGTTTTCGACGTATATAAAAAAACTTAGGGCCAGCCAAAAAACCTTTTAAATCTATCTCCATCGAGTCTAATTTGTTACATGCCGAATCAAGAAAAAAACACCATATTTCAATTATTTCTATCTCAGCTAGATATATGTCATTGAATAGGACTTGTCGCGTTATGAATAAGTTTTAAGATCATTTTTCATAAAACCGCAAGAGTAAAGACAGAGCAAAACCGAATTAGTACCTGGTCTTGCAGTTCGTCTCCCAACGAAATAGCCGTTAATTTGCATCCAATGGTCTGCAGATATTCATACACCACAAAATTGAGAGTTTTAGAATCTAAGCTGCTGAATTGGACAACATTTGTATCTTCTGTCTGAAAGCCGCTATCATCCGCCAACTCCTGTCCAATTTCAATACCCTCTAGAGTTGAATTATTCTCGAGATTCGATCCTAAAGTATCCCGTGTAATGGTTCCTCTTTTGTCATTTTCATTTTCTTCAGGTCCATTCGGATCCGATTTCGATCCGCGTTTTCTACTCGTCGAGGTTAGAGACTTACGCAATTTGTGAATAGTGTCATTCGCTTTGCGAAGTTCGAACTCTAACACTGCAATTCTGTCATTCGATGGCTCATTATCACCTGATAGATGTGACCAATCTAGAGAATCGAGCGTAGAGTAGCTGCCTGTACGAGATAAATTTCCAGACCGATCACCTGAATGAAATGCAGACTTCAATTAGCATTTGAACTGCTAACTGGCTTTATTCAAAGATCAACTAACCACAAAAACTCACCTAGATAATCACCAAGAGAGTTGAAGCTTGGTCGTTGTGACGTGACAACAAAATTAGTTTTTACTGTCGCACTGTGCTCAAAGTTAGCAGGATTTGAAAAGTAGTCACGGAGTCTCGGAAGTTCTTTTCCACGTTCAACAATTTCGGTGTGCAACTCCAGCGCCGTTAGGAAGAAATTTGCTTGAAATCACATGCACTTAGTTACTAATGCTCGACCTTTTTTTCTCAGTCAGTTTAAATTTTAAAAAAAACATGGGATTGCAAAAACAAGTCTCACCTTCCAGAAGTTGTGCTGCGATCTCATCCATAGATCGAGCAGAAACCCTGTTGTTGCGACTCTTATCAGTCTTGGTTGGACTTGATCCATTTGATCCGACTTCGCTAGTTTTTGTCGTCAAAAAAGACTGACTGCTAAGTATTTCTTTACTTAAGGCTAAATGAGAGTTCGCATTATCTTTATCTAGGTCGATGTCACACAAATTATCGTCTTCAAATTTGTTTCCAGATTCTTCGTCAGCGTAAGGATTCATTAATCTAGCATTAACATTACAAATTATCTGAAAATCAGAAAATTTGCGGAGTTATATCATTAACTTTCTCCAGATCGATTCGAAGTAGTTTTGCATGCATGGATAAGCTGTGCTTAAAAAAAATCAGAGGCGAGCGAAACGGAGCTTCGAAACCACTTGCACAACAACCCGCCCTGGAAAAGGATTAATACATCTTTGAAGAGGAACTTGAACTTCTTGATGTTTAGGCTCATGAGGTTCCTCGTGCGCCATTTCCAGATTCTAATAGCAGCATTTTGCAGATTATTGTTGTTCGTGACATTGCCGGGGAGGTTGTTGTTGTAGTAGCCTCGTTGACGACATTGGTTCCGTTTGTTTCGGCTGATAGTGGTTTCGTCTCATCCCTAATCCAGTGCTACTGGCCCCCGACAGGCTAGGTAGGGCAAGTCACTAGCACGGTTTACTTGAACGACGTTTTGCGACTGGACTTGTCGGTATTGATTGTGACTTTCGACCAGAATGCCTTCAAAATGCATTTCGACTTCGAATTTTTATTGTAGCATCTGAGTGAGAGAATTGGCGGTTTTGATGAATTAGTGGTGCTAATTGGACGATTGAACAAATCAGGAATGGTTAATTTGGCCTGAAATGCTAATTTTTAAATTTTCGATTTGGGCGTCAACAAGAGTCATCGTTACAACTCTTGGTGTTCCTCTTAGCAATTTTATTTTTTTGGTGTTCCTCTTCGCAATTTTATTTCCACGTAGCAATTTTATTTTTTGCGACAACTGAAAACGTGGAAAAAAACAACACATTATTCGTAAGGACTGACAAGTCGAACGAGAGATTAGTAACAAATTGAAATTGTGATCGAGAGTATTGACGAAGACCAGTCCGAGTTGTAACGAATTCCCGAGAACCAGGTAGGGTGTTAGGACGACGTGACCAGCCTTCCGAGAAGAGATAAGACAGCTCTTCGTCCGGAATCCAGAATCCGGAAGGGTCTCGAGGAGGAGAACTCAAACTCTGTTTTTATTATTTTTTAGCTTCACGAAATGACCTGAGTTTAATTTAGTTATTACCAAATTCATTTTCAGATAATGAGAAGCTAGGAGTTGAGGGAAAGGGATGATCCATCTCCGATGTGAATGATGATTTTTATCAACTGAACAAAAACAAAAGTAATAAAAAAAATAAGTAGTAGCCCTGTTTTAAGGAGTGACCTCGTGGTCTGGAGATACTGAGACCCCCCAGCCATGAGCTCACTATTTTCGCATGTAATTGAGTTAATCTGAGCGTTCTGGCCGAAGCCGGAAACAGTAACGTTTTTGTCGACCCAATGTTAGAAGGAACACACGAAGAACTGGCTTTGTCAGAGACAGTTGAAAGCATGTAGAGCTGTGTTTGGACGCTAGCCAGTCATTTTGTAACCTTGCATTATTTTCTGTCGATATGTACTTCCAGGCGAATGTTACATAGATATTTTTATGGCGCTCCTGGGTGTTAGTCTTTTTTAACATCATGACCGGCAGAACTGTTAAGGAGCACTCCCGGGCCGAGCGAATGCTCTAAATAAGGCCCTTAGCATGGGGGCGGAAAAGTTTGTTCGGAATGCGGAAGCCTTCCGGATTCCCGAAACTAGCTTTTCAACCTTGTTAAGACCGAAAATTCATGTATTAGTGTGCCAGTCAGTCATATCTGGAGGTTTGACCTTGAGGGACACGAAAATACGTGATTTTGGAGTGAAGTTTTAATTTTGAAAATTTCGAATGGAGGCTGTCATGCTCAGTTTTCTCGCACCAACTGAAAACACAAAGTGAAAAATCAGAACAACCGAATTTACAATTGCGGGAAAATACTTAAGAAAACAGCAGGAAATTGCTATTCGCAATTTCCAGATACAAAATAGACACGAGTAGAGCCGTCCTATCCTGAAATAGGAGGAGAGATAATCACGAGAAAAGAGTACAACTTTTCGAACAAAACCAGAGTGAACCTTCAACGGAAAGGTGGACAGCTTGAGTGTCCCAATGGTTCAGACAAAAACTTCACTTCTAGAGTCTAAACTTATTTCTGTTATAAAAACTGATCAGTATTGAACTTATCTAGTTATCTTATTTAATTCTCGAGTTGCTCATCAATTTAATTACTCCTTGTGCTCGAGTGCGTCAACATGTGAGTTCCTAATTTGGTTTTCTCGAGTGTATTTTATGATTGTTATGTTGAGATAAGGCGAGTTTTAGGTTGATCCATCTGAAATGGACCAAAGTTTCACTGTCCAATAAAAAGTAACTTAACGGATTGTTCCGACCCTGTTTTTAACGGCGTTCGTGTATTTTGGGTATCTCGAGACCTAAGTATGGGGACGTTCTTATTTTCTAGAGTGGGAGGATATTTTGGTAGTAGCCTTTAAGCTGTAACGGGTTCTAGTCTCATGTCGCAAGCGAACCGAATTGGCTCCGACCGTTCTTGAGGTAGAAAAACACAAGATATAGTGTCCCTGACTCTTGAGCCAATGGTTATAGGGCCTATTTTTCTTAAGCCTCATATGTGACCGAAGTAGGCGACTGTTACATAGTGTTTTTATGGCTCTCCTGGGTGTTTTTACGACATCATGACTACGGAGTCGAACCCACTTGACACAGCTCCGGGCTGCATGTCCATTCTAGAGTACCGGTGGTACGGTTCAGCGGGAACGTGTAAACCTTCCGGTTGTACCGTGATAGCTTTTTAAGAAAACTTGAGAAAACTTCCTGGTATGCTCTCCGAACGAGGCCTGGCTAACCGAGTAAGGGGGGTAACTAGGGGGACAAAAACACGAGCAAAATGACAAAAAGCGAAACAAAAACAAGAAAAAAGTATAGAAAAAGAAAAAAAACATAAAAACGTAAAAGACAGTGACTTTGATACCGGATCATTTGGATCAAATTTTTTTATTAATTAAATAGTATACCCATACTGTTTTATAAGACCGATCGTTTCGGTCAATCTAGCAATTTAAACCAGTGACTCTGAAAAGGTGCCCGAGTAGGGGCGTTGTTAAGGGTTTTCAGACAGATTGCAACCTAGCCGGACCACTAGGAGACTTGACTGGAAGAGGTGATCAGTCGAGTGTGAAAGTGGTTCACAAGGATCGAACCGGACCACTAGGAGACTTGACTGGAAGAGGTGACCAGCCGAGTGGGAAAGTGTTTCAGAAGGACTGAGATGAACCGCCAGGAAACTTGACTGGAAGAGGTGACCAGCCAAGTGGGAAGGTGGTGCTGCTGTCAAGTGCAGAACGGAGACAACCAGCACGGGATCACTACAAGAGGACGCACAGGGGTGTTCTCAAGTTGGGCAAACGGGTATCGTTAGAATCCACATTACATTATAGGAGATAAGTGTAAAATTGGATAAGCGGAGCCCCATTGTTTTGAGGAAGTTTTTACACAAGCAGGCCTGGAAACAGGTCTACGGTTTTCTCTCGACAGGTTTAGCACCCGGCGCTTAAAGGATTTTTCGGCTTAAGAGGGGGGCTGAAGAGGGGGGAGGTTAGAAGGGGGCTGGTTAGGTTAGAGGTTAGCGGTTGTAAATTGTAAAAAGGGGGGACACATTAGAGTAACTAATTGTTCGGCATCGTCGATTTAGTTACATTAGATACTTACACGCGTTGGTTATAAGAAGCGTATATCCAAATTTAACATCAGGTTAAGGTAGGTACCCTGGTCGAATCGGTAGGGGGGAACGGACATAGACAGTTTTTGTGATACCCCATAAGATCGCTAGCAGGGGGGAGGAAAACGTGTGGCAATCGGGTACCAGACATTTTTTCGGACAAAGATTGACATCGGTCAACCTTGAATTTCAGGAGAATTCATCCATCTGTTTTTGAAATTTTTTCCAGTTTAAATTTTTACGTTTTGGTGAAAATTTGTTGTTGGTATTTTAACGAACAGGTGATCACAAGATACCTGCGGGGAATTTAGGGTTTCAAATAGCCTGAAACATAGAGAGGGATACAAATACAAGGGGATTAGTATTTGGGTTTTGACCATTAAGATAGGGATTTTGGGAAAATTTTTACTAGAGCTCAAGTGGTGGTAAAAGGTACAGTGGTTCAATAGTCCCTACAACGAAGAAGAAGAGATCCGATATCCAGACACTCAGTGACAAGTCTTGGGACAGTAACGAAGAAGTCTTGGGACATTGCAGTCTGGGGACAGTCTTGGAGCAACACGGTCTTGGGACAGTCTCGGGAAAGAGCAGTCTTGGGACAGTCTTGGTACAGTGCAGTCTTGGGACAGTCTTGGACCAGAGCAGTCTTGGTACGAAACAGTCTTCAGTCTTGGGACATTGGTCTTGGGACATTGGTCTTGGGACAGTGGTCTTGGGACAGTGGTCTTGGGACATTGGTCTTGGGACAGTGGTCTTGGGACATTGATCTTGGGACATTGATCTTGGGACAGTGGTCTTGGGACATTGGTCTTGGGACAGTGGTCTTGGGACACTAGTCTTGGGACAGTGGTCTTGTGACACTAGTCTTGGGACACTAGTCTTCGGACAGTAGTCTTGGGACAGTAGTCTTGGGACAGTAGTCTTGGGACACTAGTCTTGGGACACTAGTCTTGGGACAGTAGTCTTGGGACAGTAGTCTTGGGACAGTAGTCTTGGGACAGTAGTCTTGGGACAGTAGCCTTGGGACATTAGTCTTGGGACAGTAGTCTTGGGACAGTAATTTTATGGCAAGGGTCATGGGACAGTGGTCTTGGGACACTAACAAGAAGTACTGGGACAACACTGATAGTCTTGGGACAGTAGAGAGAAAGTCTTGGAACAGCATAAAGAAGGGGGGTACTAAAAGAGTACTAAGTCAGGTTGAAGTAACCAATTGCAAAATCAAATTTTCTATTCAATCCTAACACATAGAAATTTCATAAACTCAGGAAAAGTTGTTTTTAGCAAATTGTACATTTCTTTTTATAAAATTTTATCAAAAGAGGTTTTAACCTTAGAGTAGAATTTTGTAGATAGTAATACTGTAAATAGTAGCAATTGTAAATAA